AGGGCACATGCCTGGGTTGCAGGCCAGGTCCCCAGTAGTGGATGTGTGAGAGGCAACCATACATTGATGTTTCTCTCCCTCTTTCTCCTTCCCTTTCCCTCTCCCTAAAAATGAATAAATGAAATCTTTAAAAATATTTTTAAAAATAGATGAAATTGATACATCTTCCTATTATGTACAAGAAATTCCAGACAATACATAGATAAGAAGGTGCACACATACACAATGCTTTAAATGCCATAACTAGATTAGAGTTTGAATATAATCTGAAAAGTATTGGTTAGGGTTATTCCCTAAAAGAATGCTAAAGCCCATCATCAAGATCTGCAATTCAACCTTTAAGAATGCTTCCTTTGGTTTAAGTAGCGCAAGAACCATAGGAGGGATAATTTAACTAATTGTATTAACTATTGTGAATTATTAAAACTTTTCCAATAAATTGGTTTTTAAAATTGTAAAGTAATTCATGCATATGATAATATACCAAATAATATAGAGGTATGTGAAGAAGGAAGTTATCCCCTTCCTTCTCCAATTCCATTGCTCAAAAATCTATTGAGTGCCTGTTAATGGATCAAGCATGTTCTTGATCCATTACGATGGATCCATTACGATGGATCATTGCTATATCCAGACGATGTGGATATAGCAATGAACAAAACCAAGTTTATACCCTCATGGACTTATGGTCTAATATAAGAGCTAACCAAACAAACAATAAGTAATTCCAGGTGACAAGTGCTATGAATGACTGTAAAGATATGTAAGAGATCTAGGCAGGCCTCTTATAAGCAGTGATTCGAGCAAAGAAGTGAGTGAAGTGGAGATATAAGGCAAGAGAATATCCAGGAGAAAGGGGTTCTAAGCTAAGGGAACAAAAAGTACAGCTCTGTGCGGTGCAATGTGGTTAGCATGTTGGAGGAATAGCAGAGACCAAAGCTCGTGAAGCAGAGTGATCAAGGAGCTGTCTTTTTATCCACTTACAGAAAAAATTTTATATACCCTGTATAGTTATGCTACGAAGTAGATAAAGTTAAATTCATTTGTTTCATTTACTTTTATTTTTTAGGACTTTTTAAAATTAAAAAAGTTAAAAATTTAAATAAAAAAATTTTAATTTAACTTTAAAAAGTAAAATTTAAATTTAAAAGTAAATTTATAATTTACTTTTATAAATGTTTTTGCATGGTTCCGAATTCAAATCTACAAAACAAAGAATATTCAAAGAAGTTTAGCTACTATATTTTTTTCCTCCAATCAATTTCTTCCCCCATAGGAAACTATCTATGAAACTTTTCATTTTTAAGTACAGGAAATACATTTGTAATTTTCTCTGCTTCTGTGGATGTAAATGGTAGCACGCTGTAATAATATAAAATACTCGATGACTTGGTGGTGTCTTTGCAAAGGTGCCATGCTAATCTTCTTTTAATTGTTTTAATTTTGCGTTTCTGCTGCTGAAGCAAACACTAAGAGATTAAGATTTTACATGGATAAGAGTTTGGAAGCTGGACACCACCTGAAGAGAGATGGCTTACCAGGTATCCTGGAGACACCATGAAGACACCAGGTGCCCGCAGAGAGAGAAAATTGTCTAGGCATGGACCACCGGCATTGAGAAAAAGAAGTGAGAGGGTAACCGCAGGCTGGCATTGCCTCTGTCACAAACTCAGGCTACGGCTTAGCTCTGCTTCCGCTTATGTCCCACTCCTGCCAATATTCTATTGTATCATAGGATGGGTCTATAAAGTGCTTTAATGTTTTGGTTTTTTAATGAATTGTTTAGGTCTGTGAGAGTATAAACACAGAACCCTTCACAGGCATACAAAAACATTTGTTTGAACAAACTCATGCCACAAATCAAAAAATGTTCCTGGATTCTCTAAGTTTGAATTTTGCAATGCTAGAAAGAAAAAGACATTCTAGAGGTCATACTAATTTGTCTAAAATGACTAAAATCTTAGTTAAAAGAAAATAACAATATAGTTATTGCTTATTCTGTACATTCTAATCCCTTTATTTATTATTGAACAAAAATATATTGAATGACTATGTTTAACACTCCATGTTAGGTGCTATAGAAGTTATAAATAGGAATTAGAACTAATTCCTCTCCTTGTGAATCTTACCAGCTCTGCCAGTTATTAACATGTGACTTCTCAACTACAAATCCATCTTTCTGTGCCTCGCTTCCTTATTCTAGAGAGCCAGACCTTGTAGGCATTTCTACTTTGACAAATGGCAAAATAATAGGCTTTGTCAATAGAGGGCGATAGAAATAGAGGGCACAGTGAGGCTAGACCAGGAGGGAAAAGACTTGTGTGTATTATTTTTCACGTGAGCCTGTGGATTGGTTTGCAGATGACTGATTATGTTCACTTCGCATGGCTTATGGTTCACCTGAGGCCCATGCCTGTGGATTGTGCCTTACTTCTCCACATTAATTAATTAATTTATTTATTTTCTTTCTTTCTCTTTCTTTCTTCTTCAGGCCTTTTTTTACTTTTTTATTTCCATCACCGTTTATCACTTTTATACCCTCCTCCACCTTCACCCCCCTGCAATCACCACAGTTGTCCATACTCATGAGGTCTTTTTCTTTTTTGCTTAATCCTTCCACCCACCAACCTACACCCACCCCAGAGCTGTCACCCTGCCCTCTATCTATGAGTCTATGAGTCTGTCTCTATTTTGTTTGTTAGTTCACTTTGCTCTTTAGATTCCACAAATGAGTGAAATCATGGTATTTTTCTTTCACTGACTGGCTTATTTCACTTAGTATAATGTTCTTCAGGTCCATCCATACTATCACAAGGGTAAAAACTCTTCTTTTTTTACACCTGAGTAGTATTCCATTGTGTAAATGTACCATAGCTGTTTTATCCACTCATCTACTGATGGACACTTGGGCTGCTTCCAAATCTTGGCTATTATAAATAACACTGCAGTGAACATGGGGATGCATATATTCTTTTAAATTAGTGTTTCGGGTTTGTTTGGATAAATTCTCAGAAGTGAAATTTCTGGGTCAAAAGACAGTTCTACTTTTAATTTTTTGAGGAACTGCATACTGTTTTCCACCATGGCTGCATCAATCTGCATTCCCACCAATGTGTGAAAGGATTCCCCTTTCTCCACATCCTCACCAGCACTTACTGTTTGTTGGTTAATTGATGATAGCCATTCTGACAGGTGTTAGGAGGTACATCATTGTGGCTTTAATTTGCATTTCTCTGATGATTAGTGACATTGAGCATCTTTTTATTTTTTAAATATATTTTATTGATTATGCTATATTACAGTTGTCCCATTTTCCCCTCTACATTCCCCTCTACCTTGCACACCTCCTCCCACCCATATTCCACCCCTTTAGTTCATAGCCATGTGTCATAAGTTCTTTAGCTTCTACATTTTCCATAGTATTCTTGCCTTCCCCCTGTCTATTTTCTACCTACCATCTATACTACTCATTCTCTGTACCTATTCTCCCTCTCCCCTCCTCTCACTTCCCTGTTGCTAACCCTCTGCGTAGTCTCCATTTCTATGGTTCTGTTCCTGTTCTAGTTGTTTGCTTAGTTTCCTTTTGTTTTTGGTGTGGTTGTTAATAACTGTGAGTTTGCTGTCTTTTTACTGTTCATACTTTTTATCTTCATATTTTTTATCTTCTTTTTCTTAGATAAGTCCCTTTAACATTTCATATAATAAGGGCTTGGTAATGATGAACTCCTTTAACTTGACCTTATCTGAGAAGTGCTTTATCTGCTCTTTCATTCTAAATGAAAGCTTTTCTGGATAGATCAATCTTGGATGTAGGTCTTTGGATTTCATGACTTGGAATACTTCTTCCCAGTCCCTTCTTGCCTGTAAGGTCTCTTTTGAGAAATCAGCTGACAGTCTGATGGGAACTCTTTCGTAGGTGACTGTCCGCTTATCTCTTGCTGCTTCTAGAATTCTCTCCTCCATTTTAATCTTGGCTAATGTAATTATGATGTACCTTGGTGTGTTCCTCCTTGGGTCCACCTTCTTTGGGACTCTCTGAGCTTCCTGGACTTCCTGGAAGTCTATTTCCTTTGCCAGATTGGGGAAGTTTTCCTTTATTATTTATTCAAATATGTTTTCAGAATCTTTTTAAATGTCTATTGGTCATCTGTATATTTTCTTTGGAGAAATGTCTATTCAGATCATTTGCCCATTTTTCAATTGGCTTGTTTGTTTTTTTGGTATTAAGTTTTATAAGTTCTTTATAAATTTTGGATATTAACCCTCTATCAGATGTATTGGCCAATATGTTCTCATATCCAGTTGGTTGTCTTTTCATTTTGTGGATGGTTTCCTTTGCTGTGCAACAACTTTTTACTTTGATGCAGTCCCATTTGTTTATTTTTTATTTTATTTCCCTTGCCTAAGAAGATATATCAGAAAAAAATATTGCTACAAGGAATGTTCAAGACTTTACTGCCTATGTTTTCTTCTAAGGGTTTTATGGTTTCAAGTGTAACATTTAACTCTTTAATCCATTTTGAATTTATTCTTGTATGTGGCATAAGAAAATTATGTAGGGTTTTTCTTTTTTCTTTTTTTGCACATATCTGTCCAATTTTTTCAACACCATTTATTGAATCCCTCCCTAAATTTCCAAGTTCTTCCTTGCTGTTCACACTTCCTTAGCTAAGGGTAGAAGCTGCTCCCACAGTTGTTACTTCTGTATCCTTTAGTCTGTTCTTTCCTTCTTAGACAGTTAGACAGCTTTTACTGGTTAGCAATATTTATATTAAATTTTCCTTGTTCAAATTACTGATATGGTTTCTGTCTCCTGATTGGTCCCTAGCTGATATGTAAAGGGAAAAGAAACAAATATAAGTTAATATAAATTCTGTGGGAGAAAGGTCATTTCTGCATAATCACAGCCCAAAGACTAAACAGCTTCAAAGATGTAGATCTATAGAATTATATAACGATTTGGGTTGTATTTAGCTACATATAACAGAAAAATTACTTAATGGTTTTACCAAATAGAGATTTATTTAATCATGTGACATAAAGTCCCTATGTAGGCAATTAAGGGTTGTTGTAACTACTGAAGAAAATTAAGAATTCAGGCTTCTTTTAGCTTCCACCTTCTCCACCCTAATGTGTGGCTTCTGTATTCATGTGTGCAAGAATGCTGCTTTGCCTCCAGATGCTGGGTCCATATTCCAGGCAGAAAAAGAAAAACAAAAGGAAAAAAGAAATGAGCCAGTTAAATCCATCCCCTTTCTACGCATTCTAAGAGACTTCAACCCATTACTGACCATTCCTAACTGTGAGAGAATATGGGAAGTGCAGTGTTTTTTAACTGTGAACAAGGCTTTGTAGGTAAGAAAAAAAGAGAGAGAGAATGGATATTGGATAGGCATCTGTGTCTGCCACAAATTAATTGGAGAAATAACTAAATGATTTATGAGATGGGCAAGAGTCAACAGAGGGCCTTGATCTCATATCCATATACTTACTTTCTTTTTATTTAGTCTTTCTATATTAATTATTTGCCATGACATAAATTTTTTTCTCAATAACTAGAATATCTTACCAGAAAAAGGATAAAGTAATATTTATTTTATTGGTATGTTATTTTCATGTAACTCTTTACTTAGACCCTCTGGCTATCTGAGAATAGCCAGACCCTCTGGCTATCTGAGAAGACATGGAAAGATATATTTACTTTTAATTCCTTACTAAATTATTTGGAATTAATTCAGTAAGTATTCTATTCCACTATATTAGATGTCATGAAAATAGCTAAATAATTTGTAAAGGAGTCAAAAATGAAGTTTAAGAACAAAAATTTCTGCACCAGAAAGTGATTAGTAGTCTAAGCAGTTAGTATATCTGGGTGTTTGAATTTTATTTAAGAGATTAAAAAAATACAATAAAATATTAAATCAATCAATACATAAATAAAAGAGATCCCAAGAAATCTTTGTAAATGGATTATCCCATCTCTCCCATCCTGCTTCAACTATAAAGCATTTTCTGAATAGGCTAATCTCTTTTCTTAAGCCATTTCCCTTATCACACACCATACAACTTAGTCCTGAAACATTTACTGATTTGTACTTTTCTGCAATTTTACATACCTTAGTCCAATTTTTCATATTACCCAATTATATTGTAAACTGCTACATTTTCCTGTACACTCACTATATTCTATGAGACGACATATTATGTGGAGCTCACTTAATTCTATAAGAATTAAAATTTAATGATCTTATAGAATTAGTGCTGGTGTAGAGGCTTATTTTTTATAAAGATAAATTAACAAATGAAGGCCAATAATAAGAAATGAAAGCTTTTATAAGAAAAATAAAATATTATAACAGAGCCCAGAATATTTTTGACTTTACATTTCTTATTTTCAATTCATAAATAGTATTTTTTATTACACTAGCATGAGAAGAAGGCTGAAGACTTTACAGGCTAATAAAATGAAAGCCTTTAAAAGTAGATAATTTAAACATCTTTCCATATGCTTGGGTTAGAATTATCTTATAAGAGTTTTAATAATAGCAACCTTACCCCACTCTACCACAGTACTTCACGGAAAGGTGAGTCAGTCACAGAGACATTTGCTTTTATTTTCTGTGACTGGTTTGCTATGAGCTCTATGTGAAATTTTGCATTGAAATTCCCCATATTAGGAAACTGCTATGCTTCTGCCTCCACATGAATCTCAAAGAGTAGTGAATATTTGGTGGACAACCTCCTGTTTCAATTATCTACCGCTGTATAACAAACTACCACAAAATGTAATACCTACAGACAACAGACAGCTTTCATTGCTCTTGACTCTGCAGGTCAGGAGTGTGGTCAAAGATGTGGGTCAGGAACTTGGGCAAGGCTCATTTCTGTTCCATGTTGTGTTGGCTGGGAAGGCTTACTAAAGCTGGAGAATCTCATAGGGCCTCACTCACATGTCTGGGACACCTCGGTTCTCTTTTATGAGGCTTTTTTTTCATGAGGCTTTTTTCTCTTTCATGAGGCTTTTGTCCATGTAGTTTCTTAGCATTTAAGAGTCTAATCCATGTTTTCTTGATATGGTGGCTGGCTTCCAAGAAAGAGAGAATGAAAGCTATGGGACCTCTTAAAGGCCTAGTCCAGAAGTCACAAATTGTGACATCCAATACATTCTCTTGGTTGAAGCAAGTCACCGGGTCGGCCCAGATTTAAGTAGGGAAACACTCCACTGCTTGATAAGTGAATACAAAGGGGCTTGCAGGGGAAGAGAAGTTACTGTAGCCATATTGGAAATGATTTTTCATACTTCTCATTTCTTCCCCATTCCTTTCTTCCCTGTGCCACCATCAGCCAGGCTTATCGGATACTACCAAATTATGATTTCTCATAATTTAACATATCTGTATAGTCTAACAGAAAATACAGAATGGATCAAATACTTCACAAAAAGTTCTCTATTCATCTTTATGGTCTCACCGTACTTCTCTCAGAAGGTGCCTTTTTTCTTCAAACTTCCTCAGTGCAAATATACGCCCCCTATCAACATGGATTGCTGTCATTCAAGATCCACTCCCCTCCATCAGTGTAATCTTAGGATGCAAAACCCAGCAAAATCTGAGGAAATTGATCTAGAGAGCACCTTGGAGACATGGCCTTGGCCAGAACCCTCAGGCTGTCTGGGCTGCACTTTAGAACCCTAAGTCCAGTTTCTAGTCTCCAGCCTGTGAGGTAGATATACTTTCTCATTCTTCAAAGTCTTTCTTCCTCCAGCAAATAATTACTAGATCCTTTCTCTCCTTCTCTGTCACATACACATACCATTCTCAAAGATACATCTGTTCTTTGAACACCTAATGTTCTTTATAAATACTTAAACTCTGATAGAACCCACAAAAGACCTACTCTCACCTTTTCTAGACCAGTTCATCTGCTTACTGACACATTGACAGTGTGGGGCCTGAACTTAGACTTCAGCTCTCCCTCCCATAGGCCTCTGTCTATACATACGTTGGAAGTGACCCAGTTAGGAATCCTGGCTTGTCTCATGCCTCCTCCTCCTCCTCCATACAGTGGAGGCTAGGACCGGAGAGGTAATAGTAATAATAGAAATTAAGTGACACTCCTAAATAAGTCTTATGGTTTTGATTAAAGAGAAAAAATAACACTCATTAATCGAATGGTTTGAAGGCAATCCTTTCTTAATACTAATGATTTATGTCTGAACAGATAGGAACTTCTCTTATTCTATCTCCATACACAAATCCATTAGAATAATTTTCCCTCAAGAGAATCTATTATTGAAGTATAAGGCATATGATGTTTAATTTTATGTACAAACTTGGCTGCCCATAGAGGTGCCTAGATTAAACATGATTTCTGGGTTTGTCTGTGAAGGTGTTTCTGGATGAGATTAACATTTGAATGTGTGGACCCTGTAAAGCAGATGTTCAGTTAAAAGCCATTTTTCTGAGACATTTCCGAGAAAATGATTTGTCCAAAGCTAGCAAAAACCAGTCTTAAGGTTGGGTAGGTTTTGAAAGTATTCCGACTTTCTTTAACTAAAGGTCCCAGGCCCTATACATTACAACCCAATCACAGAGCTGGGTTGTAATTCTTCAAATCATAGAACTGGAAGAGAAATTGGCCTCTCTCACTTTACCAAGAGCCATCTTTGTGCCCAAATTAAAAAAAAAAAAAAAGTCTTAGATATATTCATTTGCTCATTCCTTTGCCACAGTACTTCCAGGTTGGGTCCTCTTTCACCCAAAGGATTAACCATATCTTTGAAATCTTTTCCAGATCTCTTTAAAGATATGTATTCACTTTGCTGAGAGCATAATTTGTTCTGTCAAGTAATGAATGAACCCTTTCTCCTCACACACATAGTCCTATTTCACAAAGAAGAGGGACCAGGAAGGAGACCCTTCTACTAAAAAGCATCTAATGAAAGCAAAAAATCACAAGGTGTCAACTGAAAGAAAAAGTATTAGCACTTTACTCCTCCGGCTCAGATCAAAATCTGTTCATTTGTCTCTGCCAGGGCTAGTTTTCAATTTCTTTTTATCTCTCCTTTACCACCTCCTGTCCACCAGCCCAGGGGTCCTCAATCCCTGGGCAGCGACCCATAGCACTCAGTGGCCTATTAGGAACCTGGCTGAGTGAAGCTCGCCGGAGCTCCGCCTCCTGTCTCTGCCCACCCCCCCCCCCCTCCTGGGTCCAAAGACTGAGTTGAGAGGCAGCAAGCTAAGCAAGCTCTCCTGAGCTCCGCCCCCTGAACACCCCACCCCACCTAAGCTCCACCTCCTGACCACGCCTGTACCTCCCGCCCAATAAGTCTGTGGAAAAACAGGTTCCTGGTGCCAAAAAGGTTGGAGATCCGGAACCAGCCCATCATCAATGGCTGTCATTGTCCTTCTCAACTGGTTACCAATAAAGTTGTTACAAAGTGACCTTGAGCGTTTTTTCCTGCTGCATCCGATTCCCCGCCTTCTTCATCCGGGTGTCAAGGCGCAGATAAGAGCGGCACTGCGCCTGCGCGCCTAGCCCCACTCCTTCGACCTCTGCCGCCGCGGCCGCCACCGCCACTAGCTCCGGGAAAGGTAAGTGGCGGCGTGGGGCATGGCCTAGCCAGGGCAGAGCGGTGACCATGGGGACCCATTCATTCTGTCGTCGCTTCGCTGGGCTCGGGGCCCAAGCTGACGGCATGCACAGGAGTCCGCGGGAAGTGGAGGGGAGGAAAGGCCCTCGGATGGCCCTTGACCTTAAGCCTCTTCTCCGCAGAAAGTGGGAGAGGAGTCCACGTCGCCTTCCACCCAAGTCCTCCAGCCGCGCTGCCCCGAGGAGTGTAAGATGTTTGCCTGCGCCAAGCTCGCCTGCAACCCCGCTCTGGTGCGTATCCCGGCCGGGCTGGGGACCCCAGGCCGGGACTGTGGGCCCGACTTGTTGGCATCTAGCATCCACGTTGCTGAATGGGCCACCTTCCGGCAGCTTCCACCGCCCTCTCGGGACAGCTGTCCCCTCCTTAACCCTGTGCTCCAGTCCTCCTAATTGCCTCACTCTGCTGCTTCCCTCCCGGGGCAGTGGAGGGCAGCGGAGGCCTAGCTGTCAGGCCCCAAGCGGTGTAGGTCAAGCCCTCCTTGCCTGCAGGCCCGGAGCAGCCCCCCTCCCCCACCCACCTGGCCACGCGGG